GAAATACGCGACGCGCTCCGTGGAACAGCTGTGCAGCCTGGAAATGCAGGTGCAGTCAAGGACCCAGAGTTGGAGGCCTCGTCTGCCAGCGGGCAAGGGAACGTTACTTCGGTGATACAACTGAAGAGGTTCCTGAGCCACTACTTCGGGACCAGCGTCGAGTCCGAGGATGCCTTTTCTTCATACCTCCTGTCTTCCTTTCTCGAGGATGGGGTGGGAATGTTCGAGATCATCATCACCGTCATTCGTGACAAGGAGCGTCGGTTGCTGCCTGGTTCCGCCCGCATAGCGGCGGTAAGGTCGCTTGAAATCGGATCCGACACTGATTACCGGGCATTTCGTGAACGATACCAATACATGCTCTACGAGAGCCCTGTTTGTCTTCCTATCACCTCCAAGGTGGTTCCTAAGACGCTCTACAAGGTGGTGCCTCTCCGAACGTATCGGCTCTACGTAGAACGTGGGGCGATCATTCGGGGTGGGCGAGCTCTGATCGAGCTCCTTCCCTCTCGGCCGGATGAGTATCAATCCCTCCGCGATCACGGAGAGTGCCCCAACGACACTGTCGACCGCATCACCGACAGCAACGTGACGGAGCTGCACACCTCGGGTCGACGCCAAAGGAGCGATCCCCGATATGTGGTCATGGCTATCGATGCACGTTTCTTCTCCATGGAAAATGGGGGCATGCATATTACTCGTCAGGGTACCTTTGCGTCGCGCGAGAACATCGCGATCGGGTACTGGAGATGCGTCTACTTCAAGGAGGACTGCTCCATCATTTACCTGAGGCCTTGGTGCTATCCGCCCAACTTCCTCAACTCCTTGAGTGATAACCCGAGGAAGTGTCGGGACGAGATGGAGAAGTACCATCAGATCACCAAGACGGAACATGTCCGCGAGGTGGTGTCCGTTCCATGCCATAGGTGCATGACGGCCCATCCGGTCGGCGCTCACCTGTGCACCGCCTGCTACCTTCCCATCTTCTACGATGGCGTCCTGCCCACCGGAGACACGAACGGCGGCCCTCGCACGATAGCGAGCACTGACGGGTTGGTTCCTCCCTGGCTGGCAAAATACGAGGGCTTCGTCCCCGCTCTGTGGAACAACTCAGACGCCAACGCCATCGGAATGGCCCTCTACTCGCAGAGTCCCGCCGTCGATGCCCGGTCCTTGTTGATGTCTGGGATGCGGCCTCCTAAGTACCTTGACAAAGAGGACGTGGATGGCATTTTCCGGAAACTTCACGACTCGCTCCGAGACGAAATCCTTGACGGCAAATACCGTGACACGGTCGACAGCAACGTGGAAGAGTGGGTAGCAAAGGCGATCCTGGTAAGGGGTCTGGCCTTCAACGGGAGCTCCGTCCCCGAATTCTTCGAAGAATATGAGGGATATGCGGCTGAGTGGGGCAGACGCCTAACCACCGCAAACTTCAATGCCAACCGGTGCGGTTTCTACACGTCCTACTACATTCTTGAGGCCCATATCATTGGGCTGAGAACAGGACACCTTTCTCCGATACTCCCCAACGATGTGTCCGGGGAGGGATTCAAGTTCCAGGTGAAGCTGCTCGCACAGCACTGCGGGATATTGCAGGCCATGCGGAGAAGGGCCGGTTTCGATCCTGCCGCGCGCCTCAAACGGGCTATGGACACGATACGGGAAGGCATTAAGAAGGGGTATGTCTACACCCTCAACGACCTCAGCAGTATGGACGATCTGATCTACCGGACGTCCACCGTTGCCTACGACACCTGCTTGGCCGACCGTCCTCAAACCCAGGATGACATCAAACAGGAGCTATCCGACCCTGTACCAAGGAAATACCGCTTCCGACCCCGCGATCGCCATCGACCCGGAATTCGCCTTACACCAGGCCCCGGCGTGAAGGACGAAGACGAGCCCGACTTTGCTGGATCAGCGGAGGATGAGCTGGGATCGGATGGTTCTTCGCACGAAGATGACGAGAAGCCTGACGACCTTGACGAGCCCATGGGCGACGACGAGGAGGAGATCCCTCCCCCTCCGCCACCGCCCCCGGCTCCTCCTGCGCCGCCTGTCCCGGTAGAACCGGAGACTCCCGTGGTGCCGCATGCAGGCGTCATTTCTGGCGATGCTGTGCCAACTCCTCCTCCTCCTCCTCCCGCTCCCATTGCGGCAGGCGTTACTACGACTGGGGATCCGTTTGAGGAAGAGGACATGGCCATCAATACTCGTGTCCCTGACACCGAGTCCGAGCTGGAGGGTGAGTCCGACCAACCCAAGGCCAGAAGGACATCTCGCGGTCGGGTCCCCGCGCCCGAAAAAGGGCAGGGGGGCGTTCAGGTCCCGCCTAGCGGGCAACCCAGCTCTAAGAGCATGGCCCAGCCTGCCCGCCCATCCCCGGTCCCCGCGAGAAGCGGTGTGGAAGGTGGGGAGAGAAGGGGCAGGACTAAGGGTTTCTACACCCAGAAGGATCCTTTTACCGGCGAGGACGCGACTCCCCGAGTTCGTCTTCGATCGGGCGGTCCCGGAACTCCTGCGTCCCCACCACGGGATGCCACCGGTTCCTTGGGCGGCCATCGCGGCTATGACCCGCGTGATGACGACAACGACGAGTGGGAGCTTCCCCCGGGTGTGCCTCGGACCACTCGTGCGGCAGATGAGTCGCGGCCCCGACGAGATGACGATCGGTCAAGGACCGCGCTTGGGGCCCGCGAGGATCGTCGTGGTCCTAAGGGTGAGGGGAAGGGTCGAGGAAAACATCGACCTGGCAAAGGAGGACGTGAGGATCCCGGCCCGCCCCGACAAAGGGATGATCGTGGCAGGGACACCCGCGGAGGCCGACGCGATGATCGCCGACCTCCTCCACGTCATGAGGAGACCTCCGAGAGGCGCGGCCCGGGGCGAGATGAGCGCCGCGGACGTGATGACCCGGGCGATGACCGTCGCGATCGCCACCGGGACCGGCGCAGGGATGACCGACGTCACCAATCAGATCCCCCTCCGCCTCGCCGACCTCCGGCTGGCGACCACAATAGGGGTGGTGGTGAGGATCGCCGTCGGGATGGAGGAGGTGATCGAGGTGACCGTGGTGGACGCCGAAGAGACGACGCGCCCAGGGACCGGGAAGAGCCTGGTTCAGGGTGGTAGACGGGTGCCGCAATCAGCATCCGCCGGTAGAGGGTGCCGCAATCAGCATCCGCCTTAGAAGGGCGAGGATAGTACGTGTGTCGCCGACAAACGCGACCGCGCCGGTCCTCCTCTCGCCCGTGCAGCGCTGCTGGGGGTGATGATCTCCATTGCCCTGTACCGCTGATCCGGCGTTGCTCGTGTCCCTCCCGCACCGCTGCCGTGCGCGCCGGAGATGGTTCCCCTGGCGATCCTGTGTGAGGCTGTGACCGCACTAGAAGTGCCGGACCGGCCATAGCCGGATATTTTCACACCAATTTCGGAGCTTCCGTTTCTACTTTCCTCCCAACTCGACTCCTCTTCCAACCGTTCCACGGCGTGCAGTGAGGCGCGGTGATCCAGATAGGATCCCCCTCCGCATGGCATCGTCCCATGACAACTCATGAACGGCACGAGAGGAATCTTCGTCTGGTTCCTCCAATATGTCTTTGTTCACTCATGTGGTCCACTCGTCAAATAATCCTGTCGCCCCGATAATTCGGGGTGGTGGCGGGATTTTAACTGGGGCCCAGGTGATGCCGTTTGGCTCACCTCTGAGTTGACACCGGCATTTTTGGTTGGTCCCTTTCGTCGTGAACTCAACTGTCTCGCATCCTTTCTCTCGTCCAGATATCGGATGAGGGGGGTGTGTTTTGTTCACGTGTTGTTTCATCATGTGGCAAAACGGCCGAATGGCCGTTTGGCTCAAGATTTGGATCCCCCGTCGGGACTTCCTTGGATTTGCGTGCGTTCGCCATAGTGCGGCGATCGGCTGCGCCATCGCGGAAAAGGTCCGTGGTGTTCCAGCTGTTCGGCACTAGGAGGTGGGCGGCAGGTCGCCGAGGTGCTCCCGGGCCCGACCCTTGTCTTTACCTTCTTCTACCAGTTTCCTAACCTCCCCAAACTTGATCTTCATTAACTGTCACTCCCACAATCTGGTCACCGGCACCCTCTACATTGTGCTTTGGGACTGGGTTCTTTTGGTACTTCGTGAACCACGTGTACCTCTTTGATTCCCTGGGCTACTTCGTGTTCGCCCAAAACCGCATTTTGCAAACGTCCCCACGTGTTCATACCGAGGGTTGTTCTCCCAGAGCCCAAAGACAGTCAAGGGTTCATTTGAAATGAGACTCCCCCGAGGAAACCACGGGTTTCGTCATTTGAGTCAAGATCGTACGGTAGACGTGTGGAACAAATCCAAACCGCCAGTGGCCAGAGGTGGACCTTCCAGCTTCCAGCTTCGCCTTTCTCCATATTCGTGCACATAAAAACGCGAGTTGTTTGGTCAAGCGCCGTTTTTGTTCCAACTTGATTGCCAGAAGTCTTTCGTCTTTGCGGCTTGCCCAGGGGGGGGGGGGTGAAGACCAAGTCCCAAATCGGGCTCAAAAGGAAAAGGAGAAAAAGGACAACCACCAAAACGGATTTTGTTTTCCATATTCCACATAAAGCAAAGTCCTCAAGACCGTCGTTTTTGTTACCCGATTCCCAGTCGCCCAAAAGGAGTCGGCCCATGTCCTGCAGTCACAGCTCAAGTCGGTGTCGGTCGAACGCGTCGCGTTTGCGAGTCGTTTGGCTCCACAAAAAACCTCCGGCACTCGCCTCAAACAGCCAGCTTTTCCAGAACCAAGAAACCAAGTTCCAAAATCCAGGAAGAAGCCCTTGAGTCCATTTGCTGAAACAAATATGTGTTACTTTCTTTTGTTGGCGTTGAAGGGAATCGATTTCAGTACTGGACTTGTTTGTTTCCCAGAGGGCTTAAGCAAATGGAAGCTTATACAAGCGGTTTACAAACCGGCTATGTGCTCCAAGAACCCCGTTGGCCTCGGCCATTGATCGGTGCTTCCGCCATGGGCGGAAGTGCCAGCAGCGCCGTGGGCCCGGGGGCAGAGGCCGAGGGTTTTGCTGGGCCGAAGGGCGGGTTGCGTTTTGCTTGGGGGGTGGGGTTTGAAGGGGAACCCACCGAACAGCACCTGGATTCTAGATACCCCCTATACCCAATACCCATTTGTTCAGGGGTGTGATAGGGTATGATGTCAACCCCCAAATCTCTCACTTCCCGAGGTCCGTTTCGGACTTTGGCCACTGTTTGGTGTTTGGACCATGTTAGTGGTAAATAGAAAGTTCAGACGGTTTTCAGCCAATCCACCAAGGACGTGACACTTGTTCAGGGGTGTGCTCACAAAAAAAACAAGGTATTTGCCCTGGAAACACCGGATAGTGGGTATTTGGAGGAGGGGGGAAATGCGGTTTTCCTTTTTGGCCGGCTTTAACACCATCTTGGGCCTTTTTCTTGGGCTTCTTTTTTGCGGGGTAATGTTGAAACAGGATATTGTAGTATACCCTAGACTTTTTGGGTGTCATTTCTTTTCTTATTAGGATTCATGACATGTCCCATCACAGTTTGACTTGCAAGGCATCTTTCCCTGCCGCCGGAAACCGATCGGTTCTTCCACATAGACCGACAAAACTTAGACTGGGTATTTGGGGGGGTTAGGCGCCCTTTCCAGGAGGGCCTTTCTAAGTTGAGTTATTGGGAGGTCGGCTTCTCCTTAGGCAAGTAGGTTGGTAGGTGAGGGGTAAGCAGATGTGGGGGTAGGGGAGGTAGGTAGGGGTCGGGTTCGGGTTTCCAAAGGATTTGTTTTCTGAAGTGAGGTCGGAAAGTGGTGGTGAGCGGGCAACAGCTAAGCTGAGGTACCAGGAAAAACAAAAGAAAAACAGATGAGCAGCGTCCAAAACCTCCGTGTACATGTTTAGTAAGAGCCATGTCATATCGACCAGCGCGTAAGGAACAACTCCACGCGCGTAAGGTGGCGTAAGCTGGTGGCATAAGCAAAACCTCCAAATGTGTCGCGTAAGCAAAAACTCCACACGCGTGAGGTGGCGTAAGCTGGTGGCGTAAGCAGAATGATACGACACAGCAAATCATGACACGTTTAGGACATGTCTCAGATGACGTGCCTTCCCAATACACAATTTGTTTCTTGTGTAGTTGCCCTCTCAAAAACCACCCCCCAAAAAGGGTCGCCTGCAGACAAATCGGCCGAATCTGCTCCAGGCCGCCGCACTGGCGGGTGCCTGCTACTCCAGACCCGCGGGCGCTCCGCAGCTGGGGTTCGGGGGCCCAGCTGCGAAGGGCGCCGCTGGCGGGTGAAGTACCTGGCTGTTGGAATGTGGCGCCCTGTGTTCCTTGTGATAGGTTTCCCAACCATGCCAGGCGTCGTTGGAAGGGCTGGGGGCCTTCGGGGCGATGTTGAAAGGGGACGACTCCAGCCTGACTCCAGCACCCCCCCCAACGGCTTTTTGGACAGCGCAATTGTGGCCAAAACAGTCGTTGGAGGCTGGTTCGCTGTGTGTGTTTTAACGAAAGTGGTTTTCTTTTCCTTGGTGGAAAGTTGGTTTGGTCAGTTCAGCTTCCCCTGGAGCGAGTTTCCCATTTACCCTGCATGAGTTGGTGCTCAGACATGTCTGAAGTTCCTGGGTACCGTGTCCCTCAGCATGGCGATGCACAACCACCAGTCTTCCTCAGGATGGTCCACAAGAGAACGTTTGTCCTTGCGCGTATAATTGGCGACAACTGGGGTGGTTGCCCTTTCCACATGGGTGTGGCTCAAAAATAGAGAGCTGGGGTTACGCGGGTTTTAGTCTTTAGTTCCATTTACCAAGGTGCTATTTTGGTACATGTTTTTGAGCCACAGCCACATGACATGCAACATAATGCATCACGCGATGTCGCTTTGAGTGAGCGGGTTGGCACGCCAGCGGGTTGGATGCTTGCCCGGTTCTTTGGTGTTGGCTCACTTGGACTCAAGTGGAAAGTGCCAGGTGACGGTGTAGCAAGAACATCAGACACATGGGTGTCCTTTTTGGTTGTTTTGGTAGAAAAATAGATGGCCCTGGTTTACCTGGTGGTTTAATCATCTACCAGGGCCATCCATTTCCCCTAAAAGGACACCTATGATCAGACATTCCATGGAAACACATGCGGAAAAGGCAAAAATCTTGGCAAGGTACGGCACTGCGGGCTTTCGAACCGTGGCTGATGTGCTAGATCCCGCAGCTTGGTTGCAAGAAACTCAGGTTCACCCGAGCAGCACCCAACACCGATTCTTGTTGGCCTCTCGGTTCCTACTTGGCTTAGCAGGGGTTGTTGCAGTTGTGGCGCACACTAATCCCTGAAACGGAATAAACACATGTCTAGCAGCAAACATTTGCGTCAGCCTACTTCTCTTTTTCGATGTTTCCCCCTATTGGTTTCACGGGGCTTAAGCAAATGGAAGTCAGCAAACATTTGAATTTGCAAATCACCCGATTTAAGCTGGAGTCCTTTATTTAGCCCACAGTTTGTTTTTTGTTTCACCAAGGCGGGATGGGCATGCCTTGAAAAACAAATCCAGACCAAGATTCCATAAGGGTGTTTCTCAAAATTAGGGACCCCTTGAGGTGCTTAGTTTCCTGTTGGTTTTCCTTTAAAACCAAACAAACAAAAGAGGTCGCCAGGTGGGACTCGCCCCTACCCCGAACCAACAAAGCCACCTCGAGTATTGGTACATCTCGAGTCTTTTCCAGGTGGTGGCGAGAGGGTGCGCGTGGGTGGAGGGTGGCGAGTGTCCCTCTTTAGGAGGTGCTCCATTTGCGGACAGACAGAGATGCGCTGAATTGTTTTCATCAGAAACAGAACCATGAGCTTCCAAAAGCATGGAACCTGACTGCAGGCATTTGCAAGACCCAAAGAGTGTGTGACCCAATGTTCCCTCAACGCAATTTTGCATTGGTTTGCAAAACACACATAGAAACTCCCTCAAGGCCTCTGTCAATGAAACCAAGTCTTGCAAAGGGGTCCCGGGAGCTTCTATGTTAATCTGGGGAGGGTCCTCCTTCCCAGTAACATGCCACCTGACAGGAGGTACCTTTAAGAACCTGATCTTTCGGGCACCGTCCCAGAAATGCCACGTGAGTGGGAGGAAGGATAGAAACAACCAGAAAGACTTAAACCAACAAAAATCCAAGCTGGGGCCCTGCTCCAGAAAACGCGTTGAGGTGCTCTACCGCATGGGCCTGGTGGCTGCCCTGCGGTCCAAGGCAGGACTTGCGGGGTTGGACCCGGTGAACAGCGGTGCCAACGGCGCAAACGGAAGGCTTCAGCCCCTGAAACAGGGTTTCGGAGCCATTTCACTTTAAAGGGAACCTCCAAAAGTGGCGATGTTCATGTAAACCACCAGAAGAAATGCAGCCTCAGAAGAAAAAAAAAGAAACAAATCCAGTGACTGTAAGTTGGGCTGGGTCCACGTCTCGACCTTCTGGACATGGCGCTTTGGGGTAAGTTGTCAGTGGAACCCCCCCGAAGGGACTCAAGGTCCTGCCAGGGATTTCTCGAAGGTTTGCGAGTTATTGGAATTGACATGGGGCTAGTAAGAAAAATATGTTGCTCAAGACTTGGAAATACGAAGGGGAACATGCTTGAGCTTCAGTTTGCCAACTTCAAACTGACCGTAAGGTGACTAGAGAGTATTTTGGAGATCACTTGAATGAACCCAAAGGCAAAAGGTGCTTGTACAGAGAAGCCGAAGCTCAGCATTTTCGGCTTCATGCAAGGAAGGGGAAGTTTGCGTAAAGTTATTGCTGTGGCAAATAGCCCGGCTTTTCTTTTACCCGACAACACATATTCGTTGATATATCTAGACCCCCCAAATAGGGCGCAGAGTTTTGGCAAGGGGACTGTCGCCTGACCTTCCTCTACCTGAGTCGATTTTGATCGTGCCTCATGCAAAACACTCATCAACGGGAACTTTGTGCATCCTGCCTGGATGCTTTTAGAGGTCCCAAAAGGTGATCACCTTTTCTAGGCAAGTGCGACCCACAAATATATATATATATATATATACATATATATAAATATAAACGTCCTTGAGCTTTCTGTGTATGAGGTTTGGTCAAGCCATCCGGTTTTGTCTACTGCCATTTGAATTTATCGGGGGCATCTGTGATTCGGGTGGACTCACAAATTCTGGGTGTAGAATAAGCGGTGCCGTGAAAAAGGTGTCTTAGGGGATTCTTTCATGTTTCCAGCTTGTCGACCAGAGTCATATAGAGGGTCTCGGTTTGCGCCCGTTACTTTCTCCCTGGGTTCCTGCTCAGGAAGTGAGGTTGCACATGTTTTCTCCTGGAAGCCAAATCGGTCGGAGTGGTCATCGCTTCATCCCAGTATTGCTGCGGAGTTTTACTTCTCTTGGCCCCTCCCTCGTGAACCTTGCTGATGTGTTAGCTTGGACCATTGTGATGACAATGCCCATCGTTTTTGTTGGTCTGAGTTGTTAAAGCGGGGACAATTGGGGCTAACCTACATACTGAAATAATCAACCTTCAAGTATTTTGGCCTTGCCACCATGCATTGGACAGGCTCTGGGCAAGCGTGCCAGGCTCTCAGACGGGTGTGTGTGTGTGTGTGTGTGCTTCGTCGTGTGTGTGCGTGTCTCTTGTTGGGCTCCCGGGCACCTGACGACAAAAAGGGCGTCCTTTTTTCCAAGGCGCAATTCAGCCACGGATGACCAGAGCAAACTTAAGGGGGCTGAACCGGAGAAAAAAGAAAACAAAAACGGGGCAATTTCAGGAGAAACCACAACAGTGCCTAAACCCCCCATTGGCCATTGTAGCAGGTGGTTCTTGTTTGGTTTCCTTTGGGCTATGGTATGGCCGATATAAATCTTTATAACCCAAAGTCAGCTGAGTCACAATCAAAACCAGGAAATTGGAGGGGAAGGGATACTCCCCGCGCCTTTTCAATTCTTTACAAGGTGCAACCATGCTGTTGATGGAAGAACTCCTGCACCACTGAAGCCATGGGAAGCCATTGTTTATGGGTATTTCCAGGGTTCTTAGGTGGTGCGAAGTGGATTTCGTCCATCCACAGTATCATTTCCTACCCTTGCACCCTTTTTTGGGGGAGGGTTCCCCCACTAAAATAGACTGTACCCTTGTTCTAACCTCTCTACTGGACGACCTAGATGTTAATACAGGCTTTTGATTGTGCCTCAGCTCGGGTGCTGGGCGGTTCCTCGATTCCCATGCAGGTGGGCGTGATGATCACTGCTTCCCACAACCCGGAGAGGGACAACGGCGCGGAACCACGGACAAGGCGTTTCCGCCATCCACCCCCCAAACCCCAAAAATAAAGAAGACCCAAGCTTTGGCCGTTTTGTTGTTTGTTTTCAATCCTGTCTGAAGGGGTCCTCCTGTCTCAGCTGGGTTTCCCTGGATCTTTTTGAAAACTACCCCAGTGGCTGGGCCCCCCAGGCAAGTGAGCGTGTTCCCGGGTTCTCTCAAAAAAGACGGAAAACCAGTCGTTTCCCTCCCCTTTTTGTCTGGAGCCACCGGTTTTTGGTTTGTTCGTCGTGAGGAGCGTCCGATTTTCTGGGCCCTTCTGATGGAATTTTCCCCAAAGCTTGAGGTGTGAAGTTGGTGGAGCCCTTGGGGGAGATGCTGCTGCAGGAATGGGAGGCAGGGAGAGGGTGGCTCCCGTTTTTTTCAGGTGGGAGCCTCTGGGGTTGGTTAAAATGGGGGAAATGGACTTTGTTGGGAGAATGTGTGCAGGTGTGGTTCCCCTACAAGTGGAAATGCCTTTTCAGGGCGATACTTGCTTTTCAGGAAGAGCGTGTCTTTGGCTGGGACCAGTATACTGACAGTTGTTCGGAGTTCTCAGAGTAGGGCGTGACGTTGAGACTGCTGCTAATCCCCCCCAAAAGTCCCAAACTGGACCTGATTTCGACGAGCTTAAGCCGTGGAGGTTTTGAGTGTAAATGATGCCCAAATCCACCTAATGGGTTGGCTTCCCTGTGTCCCTAGAAATCAACCATTTGCAAAAAGCGTGAGTCCCTTTAGATTTCCCAACCGTATCCCTACCCCAAAAAGGGTACCCCACCAATGGCTTCCTCGGTCTGTTTTGGGGACTTGCCAGGTCTATGCGACCCGCCTGGCCAACACCCCGGACGCAGGTGCCGAACAAACCGGGCGGGGCGTTTGGTGCCAGCGGGTGGTTTTTGCTTGCACCCCCAGAACTGGTCTGCGGGCATAGACCCCATGCAAATGATGTCAGGGGCAGACAAATTGTGTAGGTCCTCGTGTTTTCCCTTTCCAGGAACCGCGTGTCTGCCCTTGTTGTTTCACGAGTGTTTGGAGCAACAGGGATAACTGTTTGTTCCCGTTCCCGCATCTAACCCTGGATTCCAACCACCAGTAAAACTATGGGGTTCAATAAAATATACCCACCATTTACCTTAAGGAGTTTCATCTAACTGGCCATGGGGGTTGAAGCCGCGGGACCTGTTTTCTGTTTGCGTGCGCAGACCTGGGGACAGTGCTGGAGGAGATCGCTTCGTCTCTAGGCGCGGAGTGGAGCGAAAACGAGCGCACAATGCACCTTTTCCTGGTCGTTTGGTTTTACGTCTTCGCCCTTGAACGAAATGAGGAGTAAGTGGGCCAGGAAATTAGTTCGTTCTAGGTTTGGGGTTGAACGGTGACCAAAGTTTAGGGGAATCCACACAAACAGACCAGCAGATCTTCTTTGGGGGTTGATTTGAAGCTGGTTCGTCTGGAGCTTTTCCGCAAATGGGCACAAAACAAGCAGGTTTGCCAGCGCAACATGGCGACATCGCCTGCGAGTGCCGCAAAAGTTAGCAGCACAATAAAGCTGCTGACACACACACACACACACACACACACCCACACCCACACCCACACCCACACCCACACCCACACCCACACCCACACCCACACCCACACCCACACCCACACGCACGCACGCACGCACGCACGCACGCCCGCGCGCGCGCCGCGCGCGCGCTCCCGCGCATGCGCACCCACCCCACCCACCCCTGCGCACCCCACACCACCCACCACCCACACACACCACCACACCACACACCCACCACACACACACCACACACACACACACACACACCACCCACCCACACACACACACACCACCACACACCCACACACACACACACCACACACACCACACACACCACACCGCACACACACACACGCACACACACACACACACACCACACACCACACACCACACACCACACCGCACGCACACCCACACACACACACCCACACCCACCCACACCCACACCCATACCCACACACCCCCCCACACCACCACCCACACACCCACCACACCACCACACACCCACCCACACACACACACACCACACCACACACACCCCACACACACCACCCCACACACACACACACACCCACACACACCCCCACACCCACCCCACACCCCCACCCCCACCCCCCACACCACCCCACACCACCACCCACCCCCACCCCACCCCCACACCACCCCCCACCCCCCCACACCCCCACTACCCCCCCACCCCCACCCCCACCCACCCCACCCCCACCCCCCACACACCCACACACCACCCACACCACCACCCACACCCCACACCCACCACCCACCACACCCACCCACACCCACCACCCACCCACCCACCCACCCACCCACCACCCACCCCCACCCACCCACCCCACCCCCACCCACCACCCACCCCACCCACCACCACCCACCCACCCACCCACCACCCACCCACACACCCACCCACACCACACCCACCCACCACACCCACCACACCCACCCCACCCACCCACCCACCCACCCACCCACCCACCCACCCACCCACCCACCCCACCCACCACCCACCCACCACCCCACCCACCCACCCACCCACCCACCCACCCAACCCCCACCCACCCACCCACCCACCCACCCACCCACCCAACCCCCACGCACGCACGCACGCACGCACGCACCCACGCACGCACGCACGCACACACGCACGCACGCACGCACGCACGCACCCACCCACGCACACACACATGCACCAAAACAGGCCACGGAAAGAGGACCTGAAAGGGGACTGCATGTCAGACAAGCATGCTTCGCCACTCCCTGCCCATTTTTGCATGGAAAGTCTGGCAGCCTTTCCGTGCGCAGCGTGTGGGTCGTGGCCATGGTTCCCTCGACAATCTGTACAGTCTCTGGGGTTGGTGATAATCCCGTGTGTGATTGGTTGAACATAAAGCCACAAGTTGTTAACTAGCCCACAGTAATCAATCAACTAGCTTTCGTGGCAGGGGTTCGTATGGGTTTGTCGAACAGACGGGCATGCCCAAAACAGTCGGTTCCATTGGTTTCCCTTGAAAGCCAACCCGGAGGAACCAGCAGAGATGTGGATAGGTTTGTGTCAAAAGTAGGAAGCTATCCTTTTGGCTGCAATTCTCCGTGGCGTCCACTACCTGCAAACCACTAACGGGGCCCGGGGGTAGATTCCCTCTGACCTCGGCCCTACAGCAGTGCTCAGCCGAGAAGCTCGACACTTGCCCCCGACAGAGGCACAAAAGTGCAAAAGGCTGCACCCCAAGAGGCGCAGCGCGCCCCCGCGCAGAGACGACCCGCACACATCGCTGTTGCACCCAGCCCGCGGCACCAGAACCTTTGCCGCCGCCTCTACCTGAATACACCTCTAGGCGCAAGAGTTGAGCCCCGGTTGCCGCAGTGCCGTGCCCAAATGCCAGTGCTTGACGTCCGGAAGCAGCCGCCAACGACCTACCGCTGGCCTCTACGCCGTAGCGGGAGATCGCACAGGCGCGCCTTGTAACCTTGTAGGCCGCGCTCCGGCGCGGCAACGTAGATGCGTGCAAGGAACAGCGATCCAAAACGGAAGCAGCGAACAAGGGGCACTAACCAGCTTCCTTCTCTCTGTATATTGGCTATATAGCGGTTGTATATCCAATAAAACCCCTGACAGTAGTGGATTGGAGTTCTTGAGGCCATTTGTGAGTGTGAGCTGTATTGAGGGTACCTTTGAGGGTTGTTTGCACAGAAGCTAAACGAAAACCAACCAGTTGGGTTTCTGCTCGCAGTCAGAAAGTTTGAAACCTTTTGGCCCTGGCACTTATATGGCACGTGTTTTTCCTCGCCCAAAAGAATGGGGTCCCCCAACAATGGCACACCCAGCCCCCACAATGACATGTCGCCATTGTGGTCGCCGGTCGCGGAAATTGGTCCGCAGGCATCGACCTGAATGCCCCTGCACTGGTGGTGGTGGGCGCGGTCTCTCGGGCCGAGCCACGAGAAGAGCTCTAGTTCAGTCGATCAGTCACAAGAAAGGGCCACCCCGTAGGCGGGGGTCCTTTGAATCGGTTCTTCGAAGTTCTCCATAGCTTTTGGGTCGGGATCTGTTTTTTTGCCACGGTTTATACAGTTGCTTGTTCTGCGCGTCGCACTTTTGTTGGGCCTCTCAGCCTTTTGGAGCCCCGGGCGATCCTTTTGCAGGGCCAGTGTCGCGCTGGGCAAGGCTTTCACATTTTTTGCAAGATGCATTCACAGGCGAATTGACTGTATGGTGAAGCTCTCTTACAGATTGTGTGACTCTGTGGATATTGGTATTTCGCTTGTTTGCCCGGACCCTTGTTGAAAAATCGGTAGTAGGTATGGACAAAGGTTTTGCCTGTCATCACTTGGCCGATTCCCTCGGTGTCAGAGGTGTCCCTGAATTCTAGATTTGGCGAATTGGTCCCAACATGCTTCAGCATTTAATTCCAGTAATTCGGGCAATCGAGAATGTGGGTCAGGCGTTGATGATTTTGCATCCATTTGTCCAATCATCTTGTGCTACTTGATTTGTGCACATCGGAGTTTAAATCACGTGTTGCTGCATTGCTTGCAGTAATTACCAATGGTGCCCGTGGCTACGTTTGGCTTCGCCATGACTAGGTGGCCAGGGGCAAAGGGCACAGTTTGGATCAAGTCACCCTTGCTTGCCACCTACTTGCAATAATCTGGGTTGATGCTTGGTGATTTTGCCTTGACTAAAAAGATGGACTTTCAAACATAGCTAAATAAAATGTTTCAAAACTCAAACTCCTACGGTGGATGGACGAATTCCTGCACCAGTTTGAAACCATGGTTGAAACCATTGTTTGTTGGTATTTACAGGCGAATTGACAGGGTGTCTGAACGGCGGTGCAAAACGGACTTCGCAACCATCCACAGTATGATTCTCTAACTCAACGTCCACAACCTCTAATGATTACCAGACTAGCGTGGAATCATGTTCAGGGAACCTGAGAACAACTGTTTGCAGAAGCTTGGCCCTAAAAGGAATACCAGAGTCAATGACTATTGACTCTAGAGTTAAGTCTTCCTATAGGGTTAGATTCCCTGGGACAAGTCTTGCCTTGGAACAGCTTCAAGGCCGCGACACCCGGGCAAGCAGTGTGCGCCTGGCCATGGCGCTGTGCGATGGCGTCGGCCGGGCGGCTTGGGAAGGGGCCCGGGGCAGTGCCCGGGGCAGGGCCCTTGGTGTCCCTTGGCTTGGTTCGACTGGTTGGATTTGAAGACCACTTGAGTGGCTTCACAAAAAAGCATCAGACACTTGTTTGGGCCTCTAAATCGGAAGTGGTTGCTTCAGAACTGGGATGGGCGGGGGGTTGCCCTTGCTGTTTTCCTTTGGAGGCTTGCTAAGGTGTGCAACTCCCGTCTATGTCCATGGGTGTCCCTTTTAATATCTTTTTGTCATAGAGAGGAGGTTTGGGGTGCATGTGCTGAAATGAATACCTTCAGCTTCCCCTCTCATTTCTTTTTGAACCCATCACTTTTTTTCCAGGGGACTTATATAAGGAGGGGTATTTATTTTAGGATTTTGTTTTTTTGTTTTTTGGATTAGTTTTTTCGCTTTTGTCTGGCTTTTGGTTGCTTTTTGGCTTTTCGCATCCTCTGCATTCCCAGTTCCTCTTCAAGCAGGTGGCTTTTTGGCTTTTGCGGCTTTTCGCTGGTTTATGCGGCTTTTGGCGGCTTTGGCTTTTCGCATCCTTTTGGCTTTGCGCCCTTTCATTGGTTTTTGGATTTGGCTTCCCGCATCATCAGCATCACCACCACGGGGGAACCCCCGCCCAAACCACCCGCTACTGTTTAGATTGTTTGCAGAGTAATTGCAGCCCTATTTGAATCAACGCTTCTTCAAACATCATGGGGGGGTTGCCGCCTCCCCCCCCCCGTTACTTTTTAGATTTCTTGCAGAGATTGAATTGCACCCCTGTTTGAATCATCACTTTTTCGAGCGTCCAATTTCGCAAGAAAATGCTGCAAAATACGACATTTTAGATAATCTGTGTAATCCATGTATGTATGTATGCATTTCTTCGAACATCATAGCGGAAGCCACCCCCGCCAACCCTCCCGCTGCCTTTTAAATTCTATCGCACCCTTTCTTGAATCATTGCACCCCTACTTGAATCATCACTTCTTCCGACATCATGGGGGGGGCTGCCGCCCCCCCCAACCCCCCCGCTACGTTTTAGATTTTCTACAGAGATTTAATTGCACCCCTAGTTGAATCATCAATTCTTCGAACATCAGGGGGGGCGGCAGCCCCCCCGCCCAACTCCCCCGCTAGT